TTTCCGTTTATTTTGTAAACGTGTGCAGTTATAAATTTTAATTGTATATTTATTTATTGTTTTAATATGTTGTGAGCCGCCCAGAGTCCCCCCTTGGGGGGGGGTGGGGGGGGGCAAGATTAATAAATAAACAAACTGGGGGGGGTCAAAACAGGGAAGATGGCAACCACATCACAACTGAAACCCCACCCCCTTTGCACATGCACGGGCATAACAAAACAGGCAAGGTGTCAGTCATGATCCTGCAACTGTCATCTTGCCTGTGCAGATACCACTGTTGGTCACACATTGCCCTAGAATGGGCTCCCTTACTAGAAACAATTTTATCAATTGCGGGAAGCCTCTGCAGCACATCAAAGGTTTTTCCACATTACCCACTCAAACATTTTGTGCCTATACATTTCCTGGTTTTCTTTCTTTCAAAGTGTAGCTACCTTTAATGTACTCCTCAGCAGCTTCCATTTATCAGTAATTATCTATCTCCAGAGTAGTTCCTCTGTAGCTTCATTGTTCTTCCTCTCAGCCATCCAATAGTGTTTTTACAATACCGTTCTGATACAAGAGTGGGGGGAAGAGCAACCAAGTTCCGATGTCTGCAATTACTGTACTTAAAGCAGTTCTGTCTTTTTTATTATTTTTTTTAAAGTCACAGAACACAAAAAATTGTAATGAAGGATGCTTGGTATAAGATGAGATCCCAAAAGGAGTAGGTAGTTGATATTTATTGGAAGATCTGGACTTCCATTTAGATAAACAAAAATGACTGACCCATACATTTCAAGTAAATTAGTACCAAACGTCAAACAAAAATAGCAAAAAGGAAAATAGATTTTGTAACATCAAACTTTTTTAAAAAAAAATTGACACCACGTAGTATTTTATTACCCAGTTACAAATATTTAGAGCATCCTGAATCATTTTCATTGCTGTGTGATCATTCTGATAGCACCATCAACATAGAGCTCAAATGTACCTGGTGCGTCCAGGTCTACTAAGAAACTCAGACCCCAGTTTGAGCATGTGAATATCATGTGATTTTTAACACACTTACGGTCTTCAGTCTGAGTCAGAGAGCAAAGTCTTGGCAATAGCCTTGCGGCTGGTCTTAGAAGCTGGTCCCATTTTATTGCTGAGCAAGACAAATGTGCTCCAAATTGCATACATAGGCTGTTTGCAAAAGGACAACTCACTGTTGTGGTTAAAGAATGGGGGGCTGTTGTTGGCCTATTTGTTTTAAGACCTATGTCAACATTAGATTTTCCAAAGTCAAACAGCACATCCAGGTAACTCTAATATATGGAGGCAGGATGTACCTTGGCCATCCAAAGCTTCCCTGACCCATTTGGCCTGACCTTACATTACTAGTGGGACAGCCACAGTTGTGGGGCCATCACAGGGCTGGAGTTTTCCACCAGTGATTAAGAAAAGGCTCTACAGCGGACTTCCTTGGGATTTACCTTTCCCTATTGTCTTCTACACAGTACTCAACTTTCTTGAGAGGAAACCATGGCAGTTGGGTTTATTTGACCTTAGTCAAAATGTTTCCCTGTTTTTCCTTAGATTCCATGGTCCTACAGCTCCCATCCATTTCTGGAGAGAAGGATCAATGGCCCAGTTAGGAAAACAGTGACAATTCAGAATGATTTTGCTCTAAGCAGAATCTGCAGTCTAACCACACCAAAGTGAATAGCCTGCTTTTTAGTCTAGCTCCAGATTGAGTTAGACTTGCATGAAAGAAACAAAAAAGCTCAACCATCAAATGAAAACAAACATCTTCAGAGAACCAAAGGGCTACATGAACATAGGCCTTTCACGGATGCAAAGCACAGGAATATGCCATATGAAAGAAAGAGGGGATGAAATACTTAGGAACAAGCATTGGAATAGGGTAGGAAATCTACCCCAAAATTCTTCTGTCTAAACTTAAAGGACTTGAAGGTGTGCTCTTACTCCACCTTCTGTTCATTCATCTTTAATTCAATGGCTTCTATGCCGTCATTCAAAACTGAACACAGTGTATAATCAGGGCTTGTGCAGATACTCTCCCTGGTTGATTATGTCCATTCAGAGTTTCAGAAAGTTCTTTTCAATTTTCCACTTGCATTAACTGCAGGATATTGCCTGATTTCTTGAACACTGTCCATCAGTATTCCAGAAATTGGAGGATGGGAGAGAATTGTGAATCCTTCTGAAGCAGATTAATGGTATTTTGCATCAAGTGGGAGTCTCCCTATCAGAACTTTTACTTACAAATATGTACTTATTCATATCCATAAAGCAGGTAGAATTTCTGAGTGGAAAAGTGGGAAGAGGGTACCAAACTCTCCCTTTATTTGCGACTCTCTCCAGTGTAAAGCTTCTCTCCCAGCCACTTTCCCTGCGACTTAATGAACTGAGAAGTTGTGCAAAAAAAAAGATATCAAGTTCAGCACCCTTATTTCATTCATAGCTCTTCAGCTTTTTGTTGCCTCCTGCATTTGGCAGGTGCCTGTCAATTAGTCAGAACCATTTTTCTCACTCGCGATGCAAGATGTGTTATAACTTTGTCAACAGTCCTTTAATAAACTTCATAGTTGACCTCATGTACAACCTCTAGAGAGGTCTGTTTTCTACTGTAGCAGATGATTCCTCATAATTTGATTCCCTTCCCTGCTTCTTCTTGCAAGGGAAAGCTCTGTCTCCATTAACAATTCTTGACTTGTACCCGCTCATTTCAGAACCAATCAAAATTTGGTTTTGTGCAGCACAGAAGGGTGTTTCAAATAAAATTATGCTCGGTTGACGGTGGTTCAGAGGATTTCATCTATTCATGATGGAGGCAGCATCAACATTGTTCAGAAGAAAGAGTTCAGGATGAGAAGTAAGTCCCAGATGATACTAAACAAAACAAAAAAGAGGTTGGTAGCAATTAGAAATGCTGTTTCAGAAGCAAATCCAGAAATCAAATATGCGATCATCAAGTGCCCCAGGGTGTGACTAGCCTGTAAAGACACTAGCCAGGAACTAGCAAGCAAAGGTCCTAGCTGCCTCGTCTTCCAGGAGGCCGTCATTGGCTAACCCATCTCAGTGCAATCCTGACACAATTCCAAGCTGAGAGAAGGCCCTCAGGTCAATGAAGGACGATCCTATTCTCATTTTTCAAATGTTGACTTCACCTCTGGGTTCTCTTCCTCAGATAACGTGAAGCCTGCTTTTAAGCATGAACAACAGCAACAAAATCTATGGCTTTCAATGGAAAATGGACAATTGTCCATTAAAATTGAATTGATAATTTGATTGATAATTAAAATGCCAATTTTCTTGGTAAGCCATAATGCATTTTGGCTGGATTCACGCTTTGTGCTGAATGCAAAACAGCCACGATGACAGGTGAACCCAGCCCATTGCTAAATATCCAAACAACCAGTTTAATAGGTGTAGCCCCCCTGATTTCAGAGATCACGATCGCTCGATTTGTCAGGCTCCCTTTTCAAATGAAGCAAGAACGAGCAGCAGCAGGTGTGCCACAGTCCTGAGCAGAATAGAAGCGAGAAGTTATTTGAGAGCCAATCACAGGAATGCGCAATCCAATCGCAGCATTCCAGAGTAGGCGCCACTGCGGATGATTCATTATTCAAGAGGGACTGAGGCAGCCTCTAATGAAGGAATCATTCCCAGCCAAAGTCCACATTGCTAAATTTGCAAGTTAATTACATCTTAGCTTTGAAGCTATTTTTTCCCTTGTAGAACAGGATGATTTTAAAGTCATTCCCAAATATCCTGGAAGTCAGAAATACCTCATAGGGTTTTTTTTCTTTTAATCCAGTTAAGGACTCCTCTTTTATATAAGGGACAGACCTATTTGGCCTATTCTAATGATTAAAGGGCTTTGTTGACAAATGGTGCTGTAGATCACGTTAGAAGGTATTTGAGCGAATGAATCTTTGATAACATAGCGGCCATGACTAGATCATATTCTACTGTTCCTTGACTCAATATTTAATAAGTATAGTTGGCACTAAATCTGTTGCCAGAGTTTGTTTCAGGACATGTTGAGGGTGAAGTTCTAAAGAAGGGTTGTCAGGACCTTCTGAGCAAAGGCCTCAAAGATGAAAGGCTGGGTGTTGGTCAAACTTGCCCAAGCTGGTGCCTTCTTTGTATCTGGAATTTTGTATCTACAGTTTCAACTACCCCTGGTTAGCATGGCCATGGAAATGAGAGTCCAAAGCAGCAGGTTGGGGGAGCCTTAATAGATCCTTGAAAACACTGGAGAACCAAGTCCCCGAGGACATAGTTCGTTCTTTCTGTCTCTCACTGGGCCTGTTCTTTGTTGCTGACACTTGGGAAACTGGCTTCCTTGCCGAAGGAGTGCGTCATTTTAACAATGCCTGATAGAAATCTTGTCCATATTTTGCCTTAAGCCGCAAAGCAAATGTTTGGCTGAATGCACCAGAGTCTGTGGTGTGTTCTGAACTGCAGATGACTGCTAGCAATTATGTGTGATATTCAATTAATTTCCTCATATAAAATGCTATGAGGAATGCTTTTTATGTTTCCTCCCAAAGCTGTACTGTGATATTCAGAAAATAAGACCCCAGTATGGAATCATTCGGCTTAAATGAATGGGATCTCCATCTTGCAAATTCTATTGCTGCAGACATTCACATAGCTCTGATTGAGATGATGCATTTAGGGGTAGGAATAGAGTATGTTCTGTTCTACATCTGTCATAAATCCAACAACTTCATTTGACCTTCAGTTTAGCTGTAACTATTGCCAGGGATGTTGATGGGTGAGGGGGTGCCAAGAGGCAAGATGGCAGTCGTTGCCATTTTGAATTTTTGACACACACCTCCTCCTTGCAGATGCCCTTGCCTATTCCATCATTGGTGACTGGTGGTTGGGAGGCACACCTACATTAAGTAGACCTTCCATTAGTTGTACAAGTGGATGTTTTGCAGATTAACGTGACACATCCATACCGCTATCTGCTGCACTGGTTGGCTGATAAGAACTGATATCATAATATGGATGAGCCTTCAATGTATCCCCTAAGCCTTCATTTTTTAAATCACACTAAGTAATGTCTTGAGGTGTTGAGACCACAAATTCCAGGATTCCTAGATAATATGATGGCTGGAACCTGCAGTTCTAACACACCTGGAGGGTGCCAGGTTGACAAAGTTGACTTCATATAGTGCTATTGACCCTTCTATTCCTCCATGCCAAAAGCTGAATGACAAGCCCACTTGTTAAATTATCTCGGCAATCTTTTATCAATTCATGTAGAAACATAACTATTTAAACACAAACACACACCATTATTTAGGAGTGAATTATTGGATTTAACGTATTAACTGTCTTCATTCCCTTGCCCCCTTTCACTATAATAGAAGGAATGCACTTTCCCTAGTCATGATCTGTGTCTGCACTAGGAAGCTAGCTATGCATTCTGGAATCCATGCAGGGATCATGGAATCAGCATAAGCAAGCTTCATCAGATTTTTAGAATCATGGGAGTTAAGACTCAGAGAATAAAATCAGACTAACACCCACCCTCACCTACGCAAACTCACAGATTGAAGGCCATTTGCAATATCAATTTCTCACCTAGTTCTTATTGGTGTGTTAAGAGAAATACACTACATTAATATTTCAAGTTATTTCTACATGCCTAATATTGGACAGAACTGACCAGCAACATGTTCCTACCTGCTACAGAAATGATGGGTGTGGATTACTATGAACTAGGCATAAATATTTCCTATACCCAGCAAAATATTAACTGTAAGGAATTCAATGTGTATTGAGTGACTCTACATTGCTGGCTAATAGCCAAGTGCTTCTCTCTTCCTTTCAGGAGTTTAAATGAATATTGTTCAGCTTAAAAGCATTACAATGCTCTTGGGAATTCAAGAAAACAAAAGTTCTGTTCAGCAGTATTTCTAAAAACCAGAGCTGAGGTTTTAGAAATTTCATGGTGTGACTTGAGAGCTGCAAATGTCCAATGTTTGAAGGACTATCGTATGTAAAACAGAACTTCTTAACTGTGATGAGACTTGCCCGCACATCACTCACAGGACATATTAATCTTAAAACAAGCACACTTTTCCAGCGCAGAAAAACAACCGTCTAGGATTACCTGGCAGCTAGATGAATACACACATTGTTCTGGCTTTTACAAATGTTGCTTTATATCTAAACTTGCCAGATCTGTGCTAGATTAATATTTCAATGAGTCATGGATTTTATTTTGAAGCCTTCGACTTTTTTCTCCAAAAAGCCATTTTTTCTCTGTATACACTGAATTTTACCAAACAATTGTGTGATTTAAAATTATGCATGTTTTCAGTATTGTAGGAATTGGAATGTTTCTTAGGGAGAAAAACAATTACTTACGCTTTCCAGTTCCTTTAAAGCTGGCAAGGAAAGCTTGTCACAGGAGAAAGAATTCCCATAATGCATAGTATGCATGTAAGAGGAAGACTGCAGTAGTTCTACTTTAATCTGCACATAAAAGTTACTCAGAATATACTAGAAACAAATTTTCTTATTTGGAAGTAGCAATTTTAAAGCTGCTCCATTGACCAAGAATCTGTTAACATTTGATTTCACCACTGCAAAATGTTTGTTTCAGCAAATTAGATCAATATGACTACGGAGCCATAGGAAATGCATGTATGTATGTACTCTGTGTGTGTGTGTGTGTGTGTACACACACACATTATCTAAAGCAAGACCAATGAATGGTCAAAGGTCCTAAAATATTTTAATCCAATCCTCCAAATTGCTTGTCCTATTCATGTAACTCAGTTATTTTTTTTACTTGATCAAGATAAAAAGCGAACAAAGGATTTTTAAAGAACTGCTTCTTCCCAAGAGTGATCAGCAACTGAGATTCCAGCAGTTCCTTTGTTCTCCATCTTAGCTGTTTGCCAATGCCCCTGTTGACTAACAAGTTGCAACTTTAGAGGGGTGGGGACTCAAAGTTTCTTGTTATTTGCATTGAGTCAGTTATTAAAGCAAGTTTTAAAGATGACCCTATGGGTCTTCAGTCTTTGTTCATCTTAATAATATAACTTCATCTTAATAATACAAAAAGATCAACTTGTTCACAAGGAATCTAAAACAAGACAGTGTTTTTAGACAGCATAGAGATATCAAAATACAAGAAGCGTGCATGTTCCCAAAGAATCCATACAGCCATTTGTAAAAGTTAAGATGTCCAATCAGTGCTTCCAGTGCAGCCAGAAGCGTGCACTCCCACCTCCAAGGATGGTGATGTAGTGAATTCAGAAATTAGTTTCAGCTTGAAATAGGTATTGGACTACAGTTCTTGAATAACAGAAGATCTCAGGGCATTCACAAAAAAATTATTTGTAGAAGGCTCAGGGAAGAAGCGTACAAGAAGTATATGATTTTACATCACAAAATTCATTGCTGTAAGATGTGATGATGATGGGGATAAAAAACTCAAATAGTTTTTTAAAAGTTTTATTCAAATTCAGGAAGTTATTTAGCAATAGGTATTAGTTGAGACAGTTCAATACATTTTGCTTTTTTTATTCAGACTTTACTCTTTTCAAAAACATCTGGCCAGTCCCTATTACCGAAATAATGGTGAACCTTGGTTCTCATACAGTCAAGAAATTATTCTGTTCAAGTTACAACATATCTGCCATTCTGGGTCATTACTATTCATTACACTACTACAATGATAATACAAAACTTCACATAGATGTTGACAATGCTCCACTAGAGAGAGCAAGAGCTTCCATATTCCTTTCAATGTCAGGATGCTTCATCGAGGTGTGTTCAACCTTCTTCCACACTCAAATGAATGGAGGACGGAAACTGCTCATTCTCTAAATTGGAGGACATGCAGCTACCCTTTATAAAATGTTTTCTATGTATGTTTGTGAAAGACATTATACTGTGACCTGAATTAGACCATCTTCATGAAGTTAATTTAAAAAGAAAGAGACCCAAGCTGGAAAATGTTCCATTTTTTAATCAAAATTAAGTATACAGATTGGTTTAGATTAGATAAAAATAGACATTTGTTTCACATTATACAAGCCAAATGTAGCTCAAATGTTTTAATATGTGATTGCTACATATCGTTTTTTTGAAATCTTGTACTATATTCAAATAGTGTCAGACAGAAATTGACATCCCAAGAGGCAGTTTATCTTCCTTCTGAGAACTTACAAGTTTAAAGTGCATAGAAATAAAGTGTAGAACACTTGAGAGTCTGCCGGCTATTTTAAACAACAGAAATGCCCAACCAGCTACAGTGTAAACTATAATGCTAACAAAACTGGAAAACATTCATCCATGCACAATGCAAAGCTTGTTAAGTCTACATAGAGAATGTAAGACGTATCCTTAGAATCTGCAGAGCATTACCATATAATGTTTGCTCTTGGTTTAGATGGGGATGGGACATGCCAAACCTTTTTTCCTGATATACACAAAAAAGGGTTAAATGTGCAAGCCAGCAAACTGAAACATGGAGATATGAGATGATCAGACAAATGACTCTTTAAAATGTAGTGCTATGCTGTAGCAACTCTGCATTGCCTACAATAGGAGCTGGGTGCTTCTTCATCAAATCTTAAGTCCCACGTGAGCTCCTTTCTAGTGAGTGGAGGTAGCGATGCACTGTTGAGTAGGAATTATCCCAAATATATGATCAACTGAACGCCATGAACTTGGCAGGTCCTTCTCCAACTGCAGGCAAGGACATTTCTTAAAAAAACAACCACCCACCCACCAAAGAGTAAAACAACCTTTAGAGTGGATGGGAAATGTTGTGCAGTTACTATTTAATTGAGAGATGTGAGGTAGAAGGCTAGATTTGTTTCAGTGGGTCTCCTGCGTGCAAAGTAGAGCACTTTATCGCCTCTAGGCTCCAACCCAGAGTTGTGGGATGATTCCAGTTAAATTCTCATGAAAGCCTCACATGCCCCATTTTCCCTCTTCCAGGCAAAGACTCTTTTTCCTAGCAGCCAGCGTGCCACCCAAGCGTGCCACCCCTAGCATTTGAACAGGGCAAACTGTTCCCATAGACTCAACACCCAAGCCAATAAACCAAGACAGGTACTGCATATTTCCCACATTTGCATCTTTCCAACTGAAAAATATCATTAACAAGAAATGCTACGGGCAACTAGGGTGTCCTCCGTTTAGGAGTTTGCTCCCATTTAAGCCAACAAAATGCAACAGCGACTATCACTATTTTAGGGTATCAGCTTAATTCAAGGTTAAACTCACAGTTTTAATAGAACTTGAGCATCCTTAAGTGTGTAACCTTCGACATAGACTGATAAGAGAACCTAGGATAATTCTGATAAAAAGTTACAAATCAACCTGAGTAATCTTTTCAAACTTATAAATACTTGGAAGGGAAAATGATAAGTCACCTCTTTTAAATCTATACAAATTAAGCACAATATAGTATTAACTCAGACCCCAAGCAAACTGATTTTTAGTAAAAAAACAAACAAACAGAAAAATTAAGCTTGCTAAAATGCACTAGTCATCCCAAGATTTATCATAAATACTTTTAAAAAGCAGAAAAATACAAATGCAAACCTCTCTGTGTTAATGCTAAATGGGATAGCTGGCTGAAATAGCGCCTAAGACCTATTTTGCTTATGCGCTTCAGTTCAGACTGCTATACCATAATGATCTTGGCCTTTCTTCAGTCAAGAGCGGCAGTTAGTATTAAAACATGTATAAGGAACCAATTACTTAAATCCATCAACATCTGAATTTAGGAATGTCATCAGAATTTGAAACACAATTAACAACATACATATCAAAAAGTTAGAACCTCAATCTCGACTGCAGCAAAGTAAACATTAATTTCATCACAAGGTTGTATTTTGACATCAGTGATCTTATTTGGCAAGCAACTCTTACAGCCTTTGCCAACCTTTGCCTTCCAGATGCAACCAGATGCAGGTTGATGGGGAAGATACGAGCTATGTAGTGTCAGGCTGGCGCAGACTGAATTATTGCTTAATGCAACTCTTAAAGGCTAATCCCCCTCCATTCAGACTCGGGATCTTCTTTTTAGACCACCTTGTACTTTATGAAGCTGGTTCTATTCGAATAGTAACAAGAAAATCCTGTTCTTCCTAATTTGGCTGCTTCCACTACAGATCCCAGAACCCCTTGCTATCATGCTTACTGATTGCAATGACTGGGAATTCTGGAGTTGTAGCCCCAATGCATCTTATGGTGGCCTGGGAGAGAAGACTGCACAGGTTGATCTTTAAGTAAGATCCTTGGGGAAAAATATATACTTGTGGATTAAAAGCCGTTTGCCCTCCACCGTCACCAAAAGCTCAGGAATGAAATTTTAGTAGTGCTTAATACGATCTCTCTCTCTCTCTTGATATTTATCCCTTCCCTGAGAACACTGCTATGACATCAGGAAAAATTTTGCAATGCTATGTTAACGACTGTTTGAGGAAGTGGGGCAACCAACAGAAACTTAGGTAAATTATCAGTGAAGATGACAGAGGGAGCAAGATTGAGCCAATTGTAACACACACCAGATTCTTCACTGAGTATTTGCTTTTAAAATGGATGCTTGTACAGTATGCCATGCTGGGAAGATTCCTGGCTAGAGAAAAACCTTCATATACTCATAGTTAAACAATCTGACAGCCAGAAACCCCTCCTTAATATTAACATGCCTGGCATAAAGAATTACAGGAAATACAAATCCTATTTTGCTTGAACTAATGAGGATTGAGCACAAAAAAAGGGAAAACATTTGTAAACCCTGAACACAATTTTCTGTTCTAAATCTGGATTTGATCTGGTAAGCAAGCAGTTTCTTGGTCAGTTAATGACTAGGCTTCCTCTCTCCACAAAAATCGTGCAGGACTTCATGGTTTTGACTCCGAGGCTTAAAGAGTCTGGCCATCTGTTTGACCATAACAGGGTGCCCACTTTTTGGAAGCAATTAGTCATTTTTGCAATGTCTGCACCTTAGCTGGGAAACAGCTCAGCTTGGCCTCACAGAGAGCTTGTTGTTGGCACAGGAGCCACTTGGTACTGGAAGATAGTTCCAGCTTTGCCAATTTACCCAATCACTGAAAGAAGGAGTGGTCGATGGGTTTCAGTTAATTTAGACGTTTGCCCCCAGATTCTACACTCCTTTTCATTCACTGATACTGATTTACCCAGCACAGTTTGAACGCTGTCCTGCGGGAAAAAATCTCCTTGGCACAGTGTTTCTCAACCTTGGCAACATGAAGATGTGTGGACTTCAACTCCCAGAAATCCCCAGCCAGCATGGCTGGTTGGGGAATTCTGGGAGTTGAAGTCTACACATCTCCAAGCTGCCAAGGTTGAGAAACTCTGCCCTGGCATATAAAAAACTAGCTGGACAGTGATTAGGATTTAGTTCTTTTTTCCCTCTGTTTTTTTTTTTAAAGGCAGGGAGAGTCTTCCCTCACCCATAGGTTTTTGCTTCTACAGAAATTTATTGGCCACTTGAAGCACAAAGATGCATTCCTGAGCTCTGAAGAACTGTTGCCTTTAACTAGCCAACTTATATATCTGTATTCCAACTACAGATGCTAGCAATATTCTATTAAAGGGCAATTTATGAAATATAATTTGATGCCATTAAGTCAATTAATATTAATTTGATGAGTCTCAACTGGAGTGAAATATTAGCTTCTTGGTTAAATTATAAAGTATCTTAGCTTTAGCAGCATACAGAGAGATCTCCATTGAGAACCTAACACAATGCTAAGGGAATCAATTATTTTTCTCCAGAGTGTGATTGTTGGGGATTAACAAGGAAAAATACAAATAAGCTTTTCTCATATACATTCAATAATTTTTTAAACACCATTATCACAATTTTTACGCTGTGCAAAATTGCACATACATTTGGTTATGTTTACAAAGTAAACCATAGAAACGCACTGGCCCTGATGGCTACTTGTTCTGCACAGACACAGTCATTAATTAAGTGCCGGTGAAGGCGGATCTTCAGTAAGCAAAGTTCTTGTGACTCTTACCGTGTGCCCACAAGCCAGGAAGGAAACCCCGAGAGCAATTAAGCACTGCCAACTCTGAAAAAGAGAGCAAGAATCCCAAATTAACAGTGCCTTTATTAAAAGACTAGCCAGTACAAGACTTTTTTCCCCAAGCAAATCAGAGAAGCCGTTGTCCCTCCTGCTACTCTGTTCTATGAAGCTCTGCTCTATATCCCCTCCCAAAGTCATTTCAGAGAGAAGCATCAGCAGGTGGGTTTCAAAATATGAGCCAGAGGTGACTACGTAATTCTGACCCTGGTCATGGACGGACACAATACTGACAGAAAACCCCAAAAGACTTACTTTGCAGCCCTTGCTATTATTCACGTCAAGAAGCAAATCTGATTGACTTATTTCACCCTACGTTCCTTGGAAACATTTTATGGCTCTCCTTATCTGCTCTAGGAAGCCTTTTCCTGCCAGGTGCAAATCTAAAAATCATCATCTATAAATAGATGCCTTTTATTCCTACCGATTCTCTAATCAACCATATGGATAAGTAGCTATCTGATATGTGAATGAACTCATACAAATAATTAAGACTGTTTTTAATCAAGCTTTACACACATGAATGTTAGTCATTAAACAAAGCAGGTCTCTGGTTTTCATATACTGATGGACAAAAGTTACTCTAGTCAGCGTGCAGTATTTGCCAGGCTACAGATTTCTTAACCCTGCCCCGGGGCATCTGCAAGTTTGTTTTGGATGTCTCCCAAGCTTATCTCTTTTCTCCAAACATGCTTTTGTTGAACATTAGCTGTCTTCATACCCAAGCTGTGAGCTTTCTGGAAGGTAATGTGGCTGACCCAGGTAAAAAAAAAAAACTAGGCTAAATGGAGACTTTGTTCTGATCTTGCAAGATAGTTCTTGTGTTCTCAAGAGACTTCCACTCTAATACAGGTAGTCCTTGCTTAACAATGGTAATTGGGACTGGAAACTCCATTGCTAAGCAGTGTGGCCATTAAGCGCAATGTCACATGACTGTGCCACTTAGCAATGGCAGTTCCAGCAGTCCTGGTTGCCGTTGTTAAGCGAGGACCTCATGTGACTGTGACTTCTGACTTCCTGCTCCTTGACTTTGTTTAGGGGAAGCCGGCAGGGAAGGTCAAAAATTGTGACCATGTGACTGCAAGACGCTGCAATGTTGTAATTGTGTGCCAGTCGTCAAGCACCCAAATCGCAATCATACAACTGTGGGGATACTGCAATGGCCATAACTACAAGGACTGGTTGTAAGTACCACTTGTTCAGCACTGTCATAAGTTTGAATGGTCGCTGAACAAGTGGTAGTTAAATGAGGACTACCTATAACACTGCTTGACAATACTAACCAAGTGACATTCCTCAATTGTAATAGCCCGTAACAAATTGTGTTACCCCTTGTTCATGATTTTGCTTAGTTTTCTTGAGTTCATAGGCTGATGATTATGGCCAAGCTGTTTCCTTGTTCCTTATTTTGTTTGTCATGGGTAGATACCACAGGAGTGAGAAAGATGGTGGGGGGAGGTGAGAGAGGTTGGGCAGGCCTGGGGAGAGGAACTGTGACGACTGGGTAGGGCAATGGCAGAATGATATCTCCAGTTACAGAGACAGAATTAGGAAGAGTTCTAGGGCCAGTGTTGGGTACAAAATGTCAGAACATATATAATTGAGTTTGGACAGAGTAAATGTTTCTTTGAGAGACAAGGGATGATGCCACTTTCCTTAAAAGAGGCAATGGTGTACCCATCCTCAAGAAATCATCCCTCAATCCAGTCAACATGGACAACAGTTGGTCTGTCTCTAATCTTCCCTTATTTTGGAAACTGATGGGGCAGCAGAGGGCTCTGGCTGAAGCAGATTATCCCTTTCAGTAGAGATGCAGGCATGGGATAAAACTACACGGATCACTCTTGTAGATGACCTGTGGCAGGACTTAAAATGGAGACAGTGCTCCAACTTAGTTTCAGCAGCATTTGATATCATCAATCATAGTATACACTTGGGATGGCTCTTAAGATTGAGATTGGAGGCACTGTTTTGCAGCTGTTCTGCTCCTTGATGGGTAGGTGGTTCCAAATGGTATTAATAGGAGAGGAGAGTTTGGGCCCTTGGACACACTAACGTAGGGTGCCTCAGGGCTCAGCTGTCCCTGCAACCTTTTCAGTGAAACCACTGGGATAAGTCCTCCATTGCTTCAGGGTGATGTATCATCAAATATGCCAACCGCATTCAGCTGTATATCTCTATCTCAAGGCCAAGCAGGAAATCTGATGGAAGTCTGCACTCCGTGCCTGGACGTTATGAGGGACTGGATGGAACAGAACAGGTGCATGATGAATTCCAGCAAGATGAAGATGCTGTTTGTTCAGGAGTCCTTGGGTTCCAGAACTGCACTATCTTTGAATCTAGCTGGGATGGCACTACCCCTGAAGAAGCAGGCCCACAATTTACTGGGGCAGGGGGGGGGGGGAAGAGAAGGACTCCTGGATTTGTACCTCTTGCTGAAACAGAGATAAAAAGTTTAGAACTCAATCAATATTACAAAGTATTCAGTCAATACTTTGTAAACCTAAGAATATTTGCTTGCCAGTGCAATTGTCTTCATTTGGCTAATTAACCATTTTAGATTACTGACAAACACTGAATCAATTTGAAGGGTGTCCAAACTTCTGCACTTACCATATTCACTATTTTCTTATTTTGAATCTGTAAACAATTGCACCTAAACGCATCCAAAGTGGTACACTTTGTATTTTAACTTTGTATCATCCAGATAGAGGTTGTGTAAGCTTTTGTTCACGGCATGATTTATTGAAACATAAAACATCACCAGAGGTTCCTAAACTTTTGCATGCAACTGTAGCTTTAAATATAGAATATAAATTACAAATGAAGTATCCAGAGTAATAGATAACCTGGAATGGTATTCTTAGAATGGTATCCCAAAAGTCTAGACAGGAGAGGGAGGGACTGAAGTGGAAAGAATCTTCCTCCAAGACTTCAGCTACTGTGATAAACCCATCTCAGCTGATGTCACTGAGAACTGGCTCTAAACTGCACAGCCCCTCCCTACCACTTACAAAGCCACATCCTGGCTGCTTCTCCTGAATCAGTTGACAAGGTGAATGCCTGGAATTGGGTTTAGAGGTTGCTCAAACAAGGTCACCAAATTATTTCTGGAAGGACAAATTTTCTAAAAACAAAACCATTGTTTTCTAAAAGCAGCTCGCTGCCGCCTCTTCTATCCCACGGCACATTCTAGCTCATTTCCTCTAGAGAATATTTTTTTGTAAGCGGGGAGGGAATAGGTAGAGAGGGAACTATAAGATGGTGTAGCCA